AGAAGCTGCTTCATGCGGAGTCACTGGCCAAAGAGGAGAAGATCCTTTGCTGCTATGGCTGTGTGGTTTTACCTACTCTATACTATAGGGCTGCTATTGTACACCATTGTGCTGTTTCAGACACATGGTTCTAGGCATTTTGGTCGTTTTCTTCCCAGCGAACAACCTTGCAAAAGAAATAAGTGCCTCCTGGCCAGCTAGTTTTCGTACATGCGCGGGCGGTTATCGGTTGCTCAACTAAGCGTGCACTTAGTGCCACTGTGTATGTTCCCACTGACAAAGTTGAACAAAGCGAGTTTTATTGTCTTTACCAACCGTGTTCACGTTATTGTTTCGTTTGGTCAACGCTTAGGGTTTCCACCAGTTGTGTTGAGACTGAGGAGGGCGGCCTCAAAGCAGGCGGAAACCCTCACACTTCAGCGAGAGCTGAAGGAAGAGCAAAGCACCTTGGCTCATTCCGGATTGGAATGGTTTAGTGTTTCAAGAAGAACAATCAACACTACTGTATGCTCCGAAATTCCCAAATGGGTGAGAAATGTCACATTCGTCACCAGGAGCCTTCGCACATCAGCGAGAGAAGCTGCTTCATGCGGAGTCACTGGCCAAAGAGGAGAAGATCCTTAGCTGCTATGGCTGTGTGGTTTTACCTACTCTATACTATAGGGCTGCTATTGTACACCATTGTGCTGTTTCAGACACATGGTTCTAGGCATTTTGGTCGTTTTCTTGCCAGCGAACAACCTTGCAAAAAACATAAGTGCCTCCTGGCCAGCTAGTTTTCGTACATGCGTGGGCGGTTAAGCATGCACTTAATGCCACTGTGTATGTTCCCATTGACAAAGTTGAACAACGCGAGTTTAATTGTCTTTACTAACCGTTTTCACGTTATTGTTTCCTTTTTTTGTGCCGTCCTTGTTTGATCAACGCTTAGGTTTCCACCAGTTGTGTTGACACTGAGGAGGGCGGCCTCAAAGAAGGTGGAAACCCTGGCACTTCAGAAAGAGCTGAAGGAAGAGCAAAGCACCTTGGCTCATTCCGGATTGGCATAATTTAGTGTCAACTTCAAGAAGAACAATCAACAAGAGTGTTTCTCAAACTGGTGTGTTTTCACAAACTACTGTATGCTCCGAATTTCTCAACTGGATGAGACATGTCACATTCGTCACCAGGAGCCTTCGCACATCAGCGAGAGAAGCTGCTTCATGAGGAGTCACTGGCCAAAGAGGAGAAGATCCTTGGCAGCTATGGCTGTGGGTCTACTTACGCTCTACTGTATGGCTGCTATTGTACCCCATTGAATTGGTTCAGACAAATGGGTTCTAGGGTTTTGGGCTGTTTTCTTGCCAACGAACAACCATACAACAGCACATGGAACATTGCATGTCTCCTGGCAATTGGCACCACTGAGTATGTTTCCAGTGACACATGCCAACAAAACTAATCAAATGTTCTTTTCCATGTTCACTTTTGGGCTTTCTTGCTTTGTCAATTGGTCTTCGAGTCAACGGACGTTTCGACCGGCGGAAGTGGTGACACCGAGGAGGGCGGCCCAAAAGACGCCGGTCGAAGAGCACGTCGCACGTCTCACTGACGAGCTTTTGGACGAGCAAAGCGTCTCGGCTGAGACGGATGGGACCGGTAGACTATCCAGTTGACCATGAACGGACAACAAGACGCCCCCCCCATGTCCATGGGTCAAGACCTATCAGGATGAGGGCCCCTGGGCTGCCATGGGTCATGGCAGCGAGTGATTTGGGTTCAATGAAGATCTATACGCTGGTTTGTGCTATAGGATGGTATACATGTTCCCTGAGCCTGGGTGCATGTTCTTCCGATCCCGGAACCTTTCCGATCGAAGTCGGACGTCTGAAAAGACTGTGGCGAGTTCAGACTGTCTGGAGAATGGGCTACAAACTTTCTGGCAAAACACCTCCCTCTATGTTTTTTTTGTTTTTTTTTGCTGGACAAGTCAGGCCGCATTCTGTGGGAACTATGCAAGTTCCGACAGCATTTGGGGAACGCAGTCTTGGAAACCAACTCCAACACCCTGGAGGTGAACGGCGGCTTTGCGGTGTCAGGGCTACCCAAAGGAACATGTGACCAGGATGACACATGATCAAACCACCATGATCGGCCTCACACGGCAGCACGGAGCACCGTTCCCGCGGTGGTCGACGTGGCGAATTGGAAGACGTGCGGTGGTCGACTTGCCCATGACTTGGTCTGAAACAGACATGGACTGGCTACGGTGATGTATTGGGTTTGGAACAAGGCCTGCAACTGAACCACCATCAATCACTGCGCCCTGGGTATTAGGATAGACCCAAGACCTGGTAATGGTGATGTATGTTGTATGTCGACTGGTTTTGTGGGCACTTAGAGTCAGTCAATCTGGTGTACTTCCCAATGTCGTTTCTCATCACAGCCAAGGAGCCTTCGCACAGCAATGGGAGACATGGCTGGCCAAAGAGGAGTCACTGGAGAGGATCCTTGGCAGTGTGTGGCGTTTTGCGGGTTGCTCTTTTCATGAGGGCTGCTGCTGCAGGCAAGTGCAGGTTGGGAAACAAGCCAGCAACATTTCCCAGGATGTTGGTGTCACCCAGATTTGGGACATACCCTCCGACTTACCAACATGGAAGTGGAGTGAACTCCACCTGCAGTTGTATTCGGATTTGGTCTTCCCAGTGGCCATGCCATCCAGGAATCCATGTGTTTCAGACAGTCAGACCTGTCGGTCGCCGCTCCTTTGGACTCTTCACGTGAAGACACGAAAGCTTCTATGCGGGTTGGTCGCGAACATGGTGTTGCGAAAGACGAGGCTTTCTGCCAATATCAGCTTAATTCACGTGGGTTTCCCCAATGGGAAGGCTTTCCAACCTGGAACTTCCTGTGTTCAATGGAGATCCAGAGGTGGTAGTCCATTCCCAGACCATCCATGTATACCATCCATGTCTTCCCTCAAAGCATTGCCTCATCACCTCAACTGATCAGACCCCCAACAACCCCGAATGAGCTGGCCACACTGAGGAGGGCAGCCTCATCGATGGAATCTGTCGCACGCCTCACGTCGCACGCGCTGAAGGAAGAGCAGAGCATCTCGGTGGAGTCCGGGGAAATCGAGTGAAATATCAGCCTAGGTGGTATCAACCTGTAAATCTTTGAAGTTTGAACCTGTCCAGATACTGATATAGAATATTCTATCGCTGATAGGTTGGAAGCGGCCATTGCTACTAGGTTGGAGGCCATCGCTCTTCGGTTGGAGGCCTACTAGCAAGTAGGTTGGAGGCATCCTCATCGCCTTTCCAAGGGTTCTCCAACTGGATCACTCACTCACTCTCTCACTCACTCACCCACCCCAGTGGTTACCCATCTAGTGGATTCCACGACCCACTGCTTTGGTCTCGGCATCTCTCTGTCAGTGTCTCGTCTGTTTAGAAAAATCGACATGTGCGTGCGTGCTCCGCACATCAAGACTCAGATGGATGGAACAGATACCCTAGACTTCCGTTCGACCATTCAAACAATGGGAACGACCTGGTTTTTGTATTGTAAAATCCTTAGTTGATTGGGTAGTCAGCCTATTAAATTAATGGTTGTTGGAAGCCTAGGGGATACTTGTAGTATCATCTTCCGCATTTCAGCTGCACATGGAGGAAACCGACCGAAACCTGTCTTGAAAGGACATGACAATCTTTTTAGGGGTTGGTGGTTCGGCCATTCAGGCCGTTCAGGATCGAATCATTTGCACGTCTTCGTAGCATGTGCACGGAGTAGGAAGTTCGGGTGGCGCTTTTGGTTGATGATTTAGATGTTGGAGCTTCAATCCAGACAAGAAAAACATGTGCATGGAGATCAGAAAAAGATCCCTGAGTCCCTTGGCAGTTGTGACAAACCTGATAGCTTTAGGAAAAAAGTGTTTTGATTCTCGGACCGCCGTCTATTGGGGCTCTTCATGTTTGATGGGCATTTTTTGTGCCACCCCTTCATGTTTGTGCTACCCTTTCGTCGGATTTTTGTGGATGAAAAGGCAGACATTTGTCACAGTTGGAAGATCCACGTATAGTTCCACGTATTTATATGGCATAGAGGGATCCGAACGAACGCAACATACGGCAAATCACTGTTTGTTCAGGAGGCTTTGCCAGCCAGCGAGAGAAGCTGCTTCATGAGGAGTCCCTGGCCAAAGAGGAGAAGATCCTCGGCAGTGTGTGGCGTTTTGTGGGCTATTTTCCTGACGGTCCATCCATGCAATATCTACCGGGCCCAATTGACTCCTGAAGCCACACCGTAAATATTTTACATATGCCATACAGTATCACTACCCCTTCCCCCTTGGAAATGAAGGGGGGCGTCTGAAAATGTAACTTGCATTTTCTTGGGGGGGGGTAGGACCAGGAAATATGCAAGTTACATTTATTGAGGTCGTGAAAATAAGGGGGGACCTCCCCCCCCCCAAAATGTAAGATTCTACCTCCAAGGTCGCAAGTTATATTTTCTGGACACCCTCCCCCCCTGGAAAAGGGTGTAAAGGGAGGGGGGTTAATTGTAACTTGATTTCTTTGACACTCTGCATATCAGGACGCCTCAGGACACTTTGGAACACTTGAAATCCAATTGTATTATGAGATATTATGAGAAAGCAACAGAAGGGAAAGGAAAGAAAAGAAGGACATGAAAAGGACAGGGAAGAAAGAAAGAACAGAGTTGACAGGTGGGTCGTACTCGATGTGTTTCACGGATCAAGAGAGTGCGTGCCTGTTCCACCCTGTACGTCCTGTTCCCAATTGTTCAAGCCATGCTTGACCTCAAACATGTAACTTGCATTTTTGTTGATAATAAATAGCCCTAAAATGTAAAATTTACATTTTCAGGCACCCCCTGCCCAGAAAATGCAAGTTACATTTTTGGTGGTCCCCCCCTCCTAAGGAGTAGGGATCATACAGTCAAGAGTCATGCATGGAGCGTCTTGTTTTGGAAATGCGCGATCGTGCTGTGGGAGTTTCTATGAAAGGGAAGGACGACTTCCCTCTCCGATTGGCCGAAGGACTCGGTGCAGAGGAGCCATATCTGCCACTCCATCGCCATGCTGACTATCAGCGTGGTCCATCCGTGGGTGGTATGGATTCGGGTCCACAGGTTGTGGGGGGTGGTCGGAAACTCCTCCGCTGAGGGCCGAGCTGGACCTGTGCCGTGCTGCAGCCACGAAGCGCGAGGAGCTCTTTCGTGGCTCCGGCAAGAGCACGGTGGGCGGATGGCTCGCGCGCGGATGGCACGATGGAGGTGGTTGGCGGAACAGCTCGGACCTGCCCACCCCGAACTCGCTGTCGGGTTACTGTGGACTTTGGACGACTTCGCTGCGAAGTAGCAGCATGTAGCAGTTGCTTCGGGTCCTGAAGGGTCCTTCGGATCCTTCGGGTTGGCAATCATCTAAGAGGTCATTTAGATTTGCTCATCGACGAGTGGCTATAGTTACTCAAATAGACTGGGTTGAGTCCTTTTGGTGCGGGCAAGTGGCAGTTCTAGGCTCGTGTGAAGAACTAGCCCCCTGATGTCTGGAAAGAAGAGATTTATATATATATATTTATATTTATACTGTATATGCATGTATAATATAGTTTTTTTTTTCAATCTTGAACTGCTGAAAAAATGCTGCTACTGCTACTGCTTCTCTTTCTACTAGTGACTAGTGCTACTGCTGCTACAATTGTAACTACTGCGTCAAGAACTTTCTTGTTGTAGCTACTATACTATGACTTTAACAACAACAACTGCTGCTGCTACTACTACTACTACTCCTACTCCTACTCCTGCTGCTGCTGCTGCTGCTGCTGCTGCTAACTACCGTACCACTGCTACCACCACGATGACGACTACTACGACTACTATGACTACGACTACGATCGCTTCTACAAAACTACTACCGCCACCACTACCACGGCCACCACCTGTTTCTTCTTCGTCTACAAACCTACTGCCTACTCCGGCTATCACCACCACAACAACAAAGTCTACGAGTAAATAGATGCTTAGCACCTACTGGGCTATCCTGATGTGATGCCAGCAAGTGCTGACTCTTCACAAAAAAATTGACGTTATTTGAACAATTTACGACTTATCACGTGCTTACAATCTCATCAGTTGGCTCGGTTGCTGTCTTTGACAACGGCATGCTTACAAGCGCATTGGCCGTCTTGAAATGGCCCAGTGTTGTCGCAACAATGTTGAGGGCCGAGGAGGTTGTAGAGCCAGTGTGGTGCCGCAATGAACTGCAATCCTAGCACACCTTCTTCAATAGGAGCCGCAAACCATGCTGACCTTGTGATCAATGAAACAAGTTACTTGCAGGCTTGGCTACACACCCTGTTTGCTGACGTGTGCCTTCAACTTGGAGACGCGACACCTACGCAAGAGCCACGCGGTGGGGAAACGCACGGCCGACCAGACGTGGCCAAAAGTTCAGGTTAAGACGCGCGATGTGCTTTGGTATCTGCGTGCAGCTCCATGTGCACAGGGGCCATGCAGTCCTGCATGCGTTCGAAGCAGGATCGTGTGCGCTTCGTTTTTCGATAAAGCATGGGAATCCACCACTAACCGTCCTGCAAAGGCTTGGTCAAACGAGGCAGGTCCCATGATCATGGCTTTTGTTCTTAAATTGCTGTTGTCGCTGTCGCTGCCGCTGTTGTTGTTATTGTTGTTGTTGTCGTCGTTGTCGGCTGTTGTTTGTTGTCGTTGTCGCTGTCGCTGTCGCTGTCGTTGTTGTTGGTTGTTGTTGTTGTTGGTTGTTGGTTGTTGTTTGTTGGTTGTTGGTTGTTGGTTTTGCTTGTGGCTGTGGTTGTTGTTGTTGTTGTTAGTTAGTTAGTTAGTTAGTTAGTTAGTTGGTTAGTTAGTTAGTTAGTTACTTAGTTTTTTTTCTTGGTCGTGTGATGAAAGCAGAAAGGCATCCGATGTTTACGTCAGAGCTTTTCCCCACCGCGAAAATTTGGGATTGGTGTTTGGTTTTCAATTCGCTTGGGGCTACAAGATTTTGGCCGAAAGGTCCAGAGGTGCTGCAGTCACTTGTTGTTTCATTTGCTGCAAGTACCGCGGTTGTCATTAATTTCTTGGCATCCACAAACTTCAAACATCCATGCCATGCAGACAACACAGTGTGTCAACAGCACGTGCCACTCGGCTGTGGCGCTGTTCCACGCCGAGGAAATGAGTTGAGCGCTGCGCAAACGCAGACCGCGGCGGAACGGGCACGAGCTGCTTCGGCTGCTGCGGCGCGCCACAGAGTGGAGGAGGTGGGGTGCTGGTGTGATTGGCGTCGACTCGGAACTAAGGAAACTCTTGGGAAATTGTTGGCCTGGAACATGAACTCCTTGCTTGGCAAAACCCTCAAAAACTTGCAGCTGAACACGCAGTTTTGAATCATCAGCGCTTTATGTTCTGAATCTTGGAGACTTTTGTGTTTTGTTTTCCAAGGGATTCCACTTAATTGTGTTTATGTCCAAAACGTGGAACCTTAGCAAGAAAATCAAATTGTCAAGAACCAAATTAAGGTCCCCCCCCCACAAGGATAGAAAAAAAACAAACAGGAAAAAACCGACACATACACACCGTAGCAAAACAAGAGGGCGCAGACGCACCGGCTCTGAACGTACTGCGAGCGAGTGCTGCAGACTCATGTTTGGCGAGACTTGCCACGGAGAGGTCAACCTCGGCCAGAGCTCTCTACCTGGTTTTGCGAAGAAAGGATGACCTGGACCCTCCTGTCGGGGTGTCCTGGCTGGACTACCCCACACTACCGGCCTAGGCTTCCAGACAGGGCACCCCGACTGGATGGTCCAGGGATGTTTCAATTTTCCAAAGAATTTGAGTCAATCCCCTGAGTCGAGTGGACATATATTACCAGGCGTGACCGCTGCGGAGCGTTCTTGGTCCGGATCTTCGGGGCTGGATCCAACGCTACGTAATGAACGGAGCGAAGTGTGCGAATCGCGAAAGCCAATAGCAGTAGCCTCCTGGCCTTAGTACGAACGGAGCGTTTGGACGCTACTCTACCCTAGGGCTCCTGGCCCACCTCCTGAGAAGATAGTTGGGGTGGGTGCCAGGGGGGTCTAACCACCGAACCTGAGGATATGGGACAGGAGCCCCAGGGCTAGTAACACATCGCCGGGAAGTCTTGGGCGGTTCGCCTTCGATCCTGTGGCGGATCCGGGCGCCAGGTCGAGAAGACGCTGGACGCCAAGTCGCTTTATTGGGTTTTGTAGATCTATGGTTGCCCTGGATTCAGGTGATTTCATCAATGGTGGGCCAGGAAGCCTAGGGGCCTGTTTCTTTTTGTTTGGAAGGGTCCATGTCCATACCATGAGTTTTTTGTGTTTATTTTCATTTTTTTTTTCGGGGAAGAGATACCTTCAGCTTTTAAGAGACATTAACCCGGATCATACCAACATCCATGTGCAGCAGCCTGTGCTCGTGTGACAGTCCTGCGTTCCGCGACGCCACAGGCCCAGCGCTTGCGAACGCTGGGAACGCCGGCGCGGGCGCCGTCGCCGGCGCCGTCGCCGGCGCGGTCGCCGCCCATTGAGCCCATCGCGGTGCGGGAGATGGCGCTGGCGCGTCAAGCCACGGAGCGATTGGGGTGTGTCACAGTGTGTCACAGTGACGGGTTATATCGTGAGAACGAGTGGACGAAGGAAAGACCTTGGACCTCTTTCCTTTGTTATTGATTGAGTATTCTTCACCTTGTCATCGATGGCCTCTATGCCTCTATGCTGCCCTGATGTTTGAAAAAAGTAACGAAGAAGAGGACGCACTGATCTCTTGCGGTCCATTTCGTGGACCAAAGATACCAAAGTTCAAGTACCGCTCCCTGGACCGGTGGTTTTCGGAGTGGTTTTCGGATAGACGGAGTGGTTTTCACCTTGATCTCGTTAACCATGCAGACGCGGAACTGACCCGAAGACTTCGCCTCAAGTCTTGTAAAGAAACCGGACCCTCAAATCCCGCCCTATGCCAGTACGTCCAAAGACTGATTTCCAGCACCACCCAAGCCCTAGAAGTCCAAAGACTATATGTTGACTGACTGAAGTAAAGGAAAATCCTTTTCGGGTCACCTAAAGACCATTCTTTTTATGGTCTTTGACTCCCAGGGCAAGTAAAGGAAGTCCTGAACTCGGATGACCTGGTCGACTCGCGTTTGACAACATGGTCGACTGGACCGTCCCAGGGTGGTCGACCTGCTTCGGGACCAGTCGGCCTGTTTTCACGGAGGTTTGGGTAGTTACTTGGGTGAACCGGGCCCTGGAACATTCGCCGATGAACTGAAGAACGCCTCGTATTTCGCAGCACTGAAGGTGGACTGTTGATAAAGATTTAGAACCTTTCTTAAAGTTGTCTTTAAAAACTAGTGTGTATACAGTCTTGTCTAGAGTTACAACTGAGATCCAAATCTATTGATTATTATGAGTTGGGTTATCAAGAGCATGGCTGTAGATAGACACTTTTGATGGGGAGGGAGCTTAGACCTTTAGCTCCTTTGCTTCAGGGTTTTTACTACCAACCCCAAAGGTTAAACCCGCAGGAGATCTAAGGACAGGACAGCCAAGCTCTGAGGAAAGTTGCGACATCGTAGATTTCGGGATTCAAGATGGTCTTTTTAGCCACACCCTTTTGAGACCCCTCAAGGTACCCCCAGGCTCCTTTATTGCATGGTATCCACTGCCGACTTAATGCTGACTTTGAAGCCCATCATCCACATCATCTCAACTTGTTCAAAGCCTTCTGTTTGGAATCCCGAAGAACCTTGGTTTTACGACGGGGTTTAGACTACAACACCGGCTCAACGTATTTTTTTGATCGTCTTGAAAGGCTAAGCGGCTAGGGTATATACAGCATACAGATGGCTCGCTCCGCCCGAGAAAGTTGCCAACGACAACAGCCTGTTTTCATGCCAGGGGCCTCTCCAGCAGTTCTTCTTTTTCTCAGGGCTTGGAGGCGTCCCAGCCCCTTCCAATAGGTAAAGAGATGGAATCTTGGCCAAAAGGCCTTCAGTTGAAATCATTGGCTCATCCAACCCATTTTGATATAGGTACTAGACCAGCCTGGACTCACCCAAAGGCAACATGCCATCATGCAAGGATAATCAAGAAACCCAGTATGAGATGTTGATCTCAGTCTGCATGACACTGAACAGGAAGCCTCCTGGGATGTCCACCTGCTTTCCTGTCTGTTCCCAGGAGCTGAAGCGAAGTTTATCTCAACAGCTTCCGGACAAGAAGCCGCAGCCCTTGCCCCGTCGCGCCCACAGGAGCGTGGGTGTCCCCAACGGGGCGATTGGACTGCACCGGTCTCGTGGCGGGACGATTCGGGACCAGAGAATCGGGGCCCAACCGCACCCCGGGACGGGGGAGTAGTGGGGGACGTGTCCTATGCTGAGATCCGTCTCAGTTCGTAGCTCGGACAATGGGTACAAGATGGTACCTGGGGGTCATGTCCCATTTTCTAAGGTACTGGGTCAGTCGGGTCCAGGTATACCCTAGAAGTCCAAAGACTATATATTCACCGTCTGAAGTAAAGGAAGTTCCCGAACTCAGGTCCCCTAAAGACCAATCTTTGTATAGTCTTTGACTCCCAGGGTACATACTTCTCTATCTTCCAGGGAAGCTGAGGGGGTTCGGGAAGAGTGACTCCAGGAGCTGTCTGAACCTTTCGGTGGGCATGACACTGGTCTGCCGATCTCGTCCCTTCTCGGAACAGGCCTCTCAACCTGTCCCAACATGTCCCAAATACTGGGAGCCCACCAGCACCCTTCCGTTCGTCGGTTTCTGGACGCCCCTTGCCTTAGCCACTAAGAGGCTATGTATAGACACCTCGAACGGTGTCGGTCCTGGTATAGGGTTGATGATTTGTCCCGAAGAACACCCCGTTGTCTTCAACTGGTTGGATTTTAGACTGCAAACCTAGGCCAACCTTTCTTCAAGGATCTTGGAAGGCTAGGGCCTTCCCTTCTGTTTGACAACGGAGATGGCATGGAAGATCAGGGCTTCCTCAACAGGGACGTTGCGAGTGCAGTTGTTCGTGAACTTGGGGGATGGTCTGATGCGCGAGATCTTTTATTGTCAGGGCAGTCTCTTGTGTTATGTGAGCCCTTTTGCTCGGAACTGCGGGGATAGTAGCAAACCAACAAGCTGGAGTCGGAGTGTGTTTCTGATAAATGCCTGCCTGTTCAACATACGAATGATGGAAGGGACTATATAGTAAACCATCAGAGTTTCCTTTGCAAATCAGTAAATTCAATTGTAGATCAGCTGTTTCTTTAACATAAGACCAATTGGGCCACCACAACAAGACCTTCGAGTGCTGATTTGCAGATGTCGCTACACCTAGAAAGGTTGCTACCAAGTCTGATGGTACAACTTTTTGACGTATACCGTATACCCAAGAATCCTTGAGCCCTCCATGGCAGGGGTCGGACCCTCCAAACCCTATGTCTTGCTTCACGCTCGGATTCTTGGCGTACCAGAGCCTCCGCAGGCTTTCAGGTACAGGTTGTTAATGCACTCAGACGGGGCGGTGTTGGCATCCTCCCTGTTCCCATACCGATCTATCTCCCATCCCCTAGTATAGCAATGGCCTCCAACCTACTACGGCCACCATGGCCTTGATGGCCTCCGCCCGCGGCGACTGGTCAGGTTCGGCTTCGATGCCCTGCGCGCCGAGATCGCCCACGCCGCCGCCCAGCACCGCAGCGTGCTGCGCCGCGCGGCGACGGCGACGGCGAAGCCGTCGCCCTCGCGGCGCTTGCCGCGGCAGCTGTCGGTGCGGCCAGAGAGCTCGTCCTCGGAGGAATTGGTGTTTTTCCGCGGAAAAGGAAAAAGGATGACAAAAAGGGAGCTCGGGTTGGGTGGGCCAGTGTTTTTTCGTACATCATGTCTTACTATAAGGCACCATGAGTCAGCATGGAGCTGCTCCTTGCGAACTTTTGGGGAGTTGGGGAGCGGTCTTTCGTGCTGGAACTGCACGGAATATTGTATTTGATAAATCAAAACAACTCATCGCGGACGAAACTCATGACATGTGTTCATTTGCACGAAACTCTTGTTCAGACCCCATGACTTTTAGGGCTTGGCGTTGGGGCTTGGGCTGGTCCCCACTTCCGACCTGCGACACCATCAGCTTTGGGTGCTCCATCGCGCCGAGCGTGCCGAGCTGCGACAGCCTCAGGCGTGTCATACCTCGCGCGGTGTACGCTGATCGCACGGTGGAATCAGGTCGGGGGGGCCGCATCCATACTGCCAGTACCGAACCGGCTTTCCGAGACCGAACCCGGCGTCGCATGGACCAGACCGGACGATTTTCCAGGTTTTGAGGTTCACAGGTCCCAAAGCACTCCCTGGGACTGGCATATGCTGCAATCCTGGGAAACCAGTCCCAACCAGAAAGAAATGGATGCAACGAAACCCAGTCCCAGCCATTTCCTATGTCAAGCAAGCCATATTGGAACAACCATTAACTGGTTGTTGGGGTTTCCAGGATTGACTCAATTGACCCCTAAAACCACCCCTGATCGGTAAATATGCCAGTCCCATGGGGGCTGGGTGTTACATCTTCGGGCCCATCGAGGATCCGAGTTCGGACCCTCCATCGAAGGGGTCAAACCCTGTGAACTACGGGGTAACTGGGGCCCCGAACTAAACCCTGGTTTTTGAGGGTGTGGATCCTATCCGGGCGGGACAGTTTCCCCTTCGAAGTCTGTCGTGCCCTTCATACCCTTCGTTTTCCCTGGGCGCTGGATCCAAGAAGATGAGGAACGGGTGCCCCTGTTGCTGTGGGCTCTTCTGCTCGTTCGAAAGGTGACGATTTCGCCACAACGGTCACTCCGACTCCTGGCGGAAGTTGGGCTTGGCCCTGGGAGTCCAGTCGACTATAACAAGAACGGTCTGACGAACGGGGACCTGAGTGAAAGGGAACTTCCGAACTACTCCAGCCGGTCCAGACATCTCGAACTGGACGACTCGTTCGGGTTGGTGGTGATCGAACCCCGAACTGACGAACCGCCCAGTTCCTGAAGGAGTGTGTTTTGATCCATCCGGACCCTCGCTTTAAGCGGTTTAGGATGGTTTAGTTCGGGGCCCCAGATACCCCAGAGTTCAACAGCAGGCTTCGACCCTCTCGTTTTTGGAGGGTCTGAACTCGGATCCTGAGGGTAGTTAATTCTTATTCCTGGATCCTTGGAACAGCAAATCCAAGGCACCGTGCTTCAGATTTTGTTCTGTATGAGCCGTGGGCTTCCCCCACCAGAGACTGCTGGCAAAAGAACAAGTACATCACTACGTCCAGGAATTGGGGCATACCAACCAAGGATTTGGCAAGTACCAGATGATATGATGAGTAATACAACATGATACCACCTCCCAACTCCCAACACGTACCCAGCGCACATCAAACAATACTTTGGACATGTTGCAGCCTTTGCGCCCAAAAACTTCAGTTTGCAACTTTTCCATACTTTTCCTTTTGATCTCGATGATGTTTGTTTCCGTATATAAATGCGTAGAAACCTCGCATGCCATGACCCCACTACAAAACCTTAGCAAGCTATCATTTGCCAGCCTTGCCGGAACACCGCCAGGAACACCATTTCCCTCCCAAATCGAGATGGGTGACCTTTCCCTCAGAATTCCCTAAATAGATTTGGCAGATCAAAATGCTCGAAGTCATCAAGACTGTTTCAAACCTAAGCGATGGCCTCCACCCTAGTAGCGATGGCCTCGCCTGAATTCTGCACGACTGCTTCAAACCAATCGCAGGCTGCCGGCAGTCCGCGCAATCGCCTTGCCGGCTTGGCGGTTGGGGAGCCAACGGGGTCCGTATCGACGTGTCCGAGGAACAACGCACTGAGGGTGGAAGGTGTACATTGGGAACATCGACGAGACTCTGAGGGAACATCTCCCCCCTTTTCAAGATCCATTTCCTAGACACGACCCGTCTGGGACTGCCATAGGACTGCCTACATGTAGGGTGGCTGACCACCCCACACATTCAACAATACACGTAAATGTTCTACCTACTGAGAACCCACTTGACACCTGTTTTGAGAGGAAAGAAGACCCTCTTTGGAGTGGTTGGTGAGCCAAAAGACCCTCTTAGGGGTCACTCAGGTTCTATACCCAGACACGACCCGTCTGGGACTGCCGATCAGGCCAGGGGTGGTTGAACAGGGGTCAATGGGGCGGCAGTCCGTCCTGGCAGTCCCAGACGGGTCGTGTCTGGGTTTGACCAAGCCCCCCTGTGGTGCATATAGAGGGGTTCAGGATTCTTCAAAGTCAGGCGAGAAGTTGAGACTCATGGAGTTGCACACATGGAGCTGCATGGATCTCCCGCAAGCATTCATGGCTCAGCCGCCATGTCGGACGGTGCTAGCATTAGTTCCACCAAGCGAAGCATAGCGTAACCATACCGAACGAAGAGAAAGACCGAACGAAGAGAAAGTCGGACCTACAACCATTCAAAGTAGATCACAGTGCCGGTCTATACATACTGCAATCAGCGGCATTTCTTTCTTAATCGGCTGGTGTGGAGCAGTCCAAATGTCGTTGCATATATCTGGATCTTCCAACTATAGACAAAATGTATGCCTTTTGGCCGGCTGGTTTGTTATAGATGAAAAGGCAGAAATTCTGCATACTTGGAAGATCCAGGTATATACCTATGCTAGATCTTCCAACTGTGCAAAATTTATGCTTTTTGGTTACATTGATGAAACGGCAGAAATTCTGCACAGTTGGAAGATCCAGGTATATATCTGTGCAGAACATGTACCGAGGCTCCAGACGAGCGCGTGTTACAAAGCTCCACGGTGTGAGCGCTCCATGTGCGCTCCGATTTTATCGAAAGAACAGGGTACTCAGGGTGACATCGAAGCTCTCCTCACATTTCCTTACAGAGACTGGGGACCCCCACTCCACAACCACTGCTGGAAGGAGAGTCTCAGACTTCGTGAGATGAAGTGTGAGATCGGTGGAGGATGGAGTCTAGTGCGAGTTTTGAGGGATCCAGTCGTACCTTCTCAGGTTCGGTGAAGAAAGAGACACTGTTTTGCAGCTTTGGAGGGTACGACTGGATAGCAAACCACTGAGGTTCGGTACGAGTTCGACTCCCTAAAGAGTGAGGTCGAGTTCTACCACACCAGGTCCTCTCCGGTCCCTCATCCTACCGGCCAGTCCGAGACGACGAGTCCAAGCGAGAGGTTCATCGAGCGTTTGGTTGGCCTTCTTTCTGGTGAGGATCCTTTGATGCAAACTTGGAACCCCCAAAAAATATCTCTATCCCTAAGGATCCGAGTTCGGACCCGACACCGAACCGAAGGAGCCGAAGCCTGCTGTGAAATCACAGGGGTATGTCATTACCCGAACTAAATCCCTGGTTTTTTGAGGGTCCGGATCCTGATCGGGATGTCAAATTATCCTCTATGAAATCACAGGGGTCAACCCCTCCTTTCAAACGTTTCATGGCCCTGACTGGGAGGTGAACCCCAAAACTTCAGGCCTCCCACAGAAGACTCTCCCGTCGCCTTCGGTCGCTTCCCGTCGCGGACGCTGGTGCGGACGCGTGTGAGGTCGGAAGTTTGTATTTCTCCGTCTTGGCCACCTGCAGTGGCTGGCTACACTACGCCCAGGCGTAGGGAGACAAGAGATGATTCCACGTGGGACGAAGGATGAGGGAAGTGGACGGGCGCTCGTCTTGCCCAGACGCGACCACGCGACCCTGGACCTGAACCTATGGAGGGGTCTGGGGGTTCTCACCAATCCCGATAGGGTTTGAGGGACCGGAAGTAGGGCTGTGAACTCATGGGGCGGGGTGCGCCATGGTCCACTTCCGTTTCAGGGAGTGTCAGCGCTGGCTGGGTGGTGAAGAAATTTGGAATGTGTCAAAACAATCCACCCAGACGCTCCGTTCACAGCCCGACTGGTCCCTCAAAGCCATAGGGATTTGATGGGATTTGAGTCGAGGGTCCAGAACCCTCCATATGAGGGTCCGACACCGGTTCGGGTCCAGAAGCGTTTGGGCAAAACCAATGTGTCTTTCTTTCACAGTGGATCCCAGGCAGCGTTTCTAGGTCAAAGGAACCAGGGGTCCTCGGAAACGGTCTCCCGACTTAGTCTTTAGAAGGATCCGGTGTTTTATATAAATATTATATATGTCATTTTGAGTTGCGCAACAAACCCAAAGGCCTGCCCAAAAACACAAGCCGAGGACATGCGCAGCTTCTCGGACATGCGCAGCTTTTTCGGACAGCTTGAAGCGCACTGATCACGGTTGCCTTCGGTTTTGCAATGTTTTGCTTATACTGATCAGGGTGATGTGTTTTGTTTGTTTGTCTGGTTTTTCCCCTTATGATGGGAATGAACCCTAGGGCTCCTGTCCCATCTCCTCAGGTTCGGTGGTTAGACCCCCCTGGCACCCACCCCAACCATCTTCTCAGGAGGTGGGCCAGGAGCCTAGGGGAAACACCATGCAGTCCTTTTTTCCCGTCGCTTGGGCGAAACCACCCGTCGCGTGGCGTCGTGCCACGCGTCCAAACCGTCGCGTCGCCAGGTCTTGGAAGGCGTGATGGCGCAAAGGACGCCCATGGCCCAGAGGTGGGGCGGAGGGCCGGTTTGGGGAGCCCACCCAGGAGTCAGTTTGAAGGTTTGGCACAAATCGTGTTGGGGAACGGTTTCCTGAGTTGCCCAGACGCGACCCGAACGAGCTCGGCCCCGAACCTGTTGGCAGGGGTCGGAGCTTCCTCGGACGGGTCAGGGGTTTGGAGTTTCGAACCAATCCCTAGGGTTTGGTTCGGGACCGGAAGTAGGGCTGTGAACGAAAACGGAGCGTTTGAGTTAAACGTAAATATCATTAACAAGGTTCAAACAGATTCACCTGCATCTTCCAGCGACACGAGCGAGCGAGTCAGGAGCTGTGGAGGTCCAGAATCAAGTAGGGTGCTTTTGAGTCTGTCCTACCTGTAACAGTCAGTAAACAATTATCACTACTTTTGGACAGACGGCCTCTACTAACCGTCATCATCCACGCCCAGGTAGACTCGGAAAAACTCAATATGGGAGCTTTTGAGTCCCATCCGGCAGACGACGGGATATTTGGGGCATCCCAGTGCTTGTTCCGAAACGAGCAGTTGAACCCACACGGCGTCTACACCGTGACGACTGTAGGGACGACTGTTGAGGATGCACATGTTCGTCTGTCGCCCAGACGCAACACACTTCTGCAGCCATGTGAACTCGGAACAGAGTGACATAGTCGTCTTTTGCCGCGCGCATCTTCGACCAAGTTGCGCGCAAGAAAAAAAAACCCTCTACCAGGTGTCCAACATGTCCATGGGTCACATAATGGGTGTTTTGAGTGGGAGAACCATTTCAGAAACTGTGCCATTTCAGAGATCAGATCAGATCAGAACACTCACAGCGTATCACGTGAAGTGGTTCTTTTGGTCGAGGACACCTGGGAGGTTCGTGTTTCACAGCGTATCACCATGGCACTTGTCGGCGTTTGCGTATCGCCAAGGCAGTCCGTCGAAGGCGTGGAAACCAGTGTTCCCTGGTTTGGCGAATCACCCTAAGGATCCTTGGACCCTCCTTAGAAGGGGTCGAACCCTCTAGTTCACAAGGGTTTGTACCCTCATGTACCCTCAAAACCCTTGTTTTTGAGGGTGCGGATCCTTAGGGCAGGTGAAGTTTTTGTCTTCCCGAATTGGATGAATCTCCTTCTGGATAAAGCATGTGTATTTTTTCCAGGTTCCTACCTGCAGTCTCAAAGTACCTCGGAAAATGGGTACAATTTTAAGTACCTGTTTTTAAGGGGTCATGTCCCATTTTCTATAGGTACTTTGGAGGATCCAGGTATTTTTCTCCAGGTTCCTAGTAGGTTGGAGGCCATCGCTAGTGGGTTGGAGGACAGCAAATCCAAGGTTTCCCAGTCACCGATCTCGGAACCGATCTCCGAGATCTCCGATCGAAAGAGCTTGGATGCGCTGGATGCATTGGATGGAAACATTTGGAAGGACTTTGACTCCTTCAACATCTCGAACTTCAGTGCCCTGGAGGTCGAAAGATTTGAGTTCCATCATGTGCTTCGTGCCTCTGATGGTGTGCGTGCTCAGATCGAAGTGCATTCAGACCTGGTGGAAGGCACGAAGGTGGTGGTGAAACGCTTTCCAAGGGCATATCTCAAAGACAGCCCAGCAGAATTTCGACAGTCGAACCACACACTTGAAGATCCATGGAAGGAGATGTTTCTTGCTCTGAAGTTGGGCGCGCCCGGAAGCGCCTCGCAGATATCAGGAGTTCTCCCGTGCCATGGCATTTTCATCCATCCATCCGGTGATGTGATGCTTTTCATGGAATACGCCACCTCGGGTGATCTCTTTGACTTCGCCACGGCCTTGGGAGAGCCGGGACCTGCGCGAGAGGCAGTGGCAACGCAGCTCTTGCGTCCTTTGGTTCATGTAGTTCTGCAGCTCCACCAGATGGGCATCGCCCACGGCGACATTAGTGCGGAGAATGCGATTCTGTGTGAGGCATGTGTTTCTATTTTATTGCAACCAGTTTTGGGGCGAATTAAACGTGGTGAAATCTCATCCTGTGTGATTTGTTTCTGAATCGAGGCGGACGGAGAGGTCTCAGTAGCTCTGTTGGACTTTGCCATGGCAGTCGACACTTCGAAACCGCGTCGCTTCTCAGCGCATGGAGAAGCCCGAGGGAAGCCCATGTACCGCCCCCCAGAGGAGTGGAGTGTTGATGTGCAAGGTGCTGATTTGTTTGCTTGTGGAGTGCTGGGGTATGCCTTGGCCATTGGAAACTATCCGTGGCAGAGCACCAGTGGAGCTTGCAAGGCGTTTGACTATGTGAAGAAGAAGGGCTTGGCACAATTCTTCCGGAAGCGCATGATTCCCATGGGGTCGGGCAAAGTCCCTGTGGCTGAGGTGTTGTCACCAGGCTTTCAAGAGGTGCTCATAGCACTAATTGAGAGCTGAAACAATTTCTTTATGATGAAGAAACATGGCTTTCCAGAAGTTATAGTGGTCCCCAAATAGATCCAAATAGATAGTGGCACGATTTCCAAGACCTTTTGAACAAGATTGTACTTTTCTATCTATTTGGGGGTCAAAAAAGCAGACCCAATTGAGGTCTGGTGGATTCATGTTTTGCCCAGAGACCGATCCATATATATATATATTGCAATTTATATCAATTTATATCATATTATGTATTGTGTATTAGACTATATTCTATTCTATTCTATAATACACACTGGTGAAACATTATACACTCTATACATGCAGGCATTCCTTCATGGACTGAGAAATACTGAGATTGGTTCTGGCCATTTCTTCCAAACATGTGTTTAAGAACATGGAGAGTTGATGAATCAGGGGCAAGTGGCCAGGGGCCCAAGAAACATCTTGGGAGTTTGAGGGAAGCTGCCATGGTGTAAAGCGCACTGATTTGCATACATCCCTTGCCTGCACTTGCCTTCTGCAAATGTTCTTTGTTTAGGCACACTGCGGTCAGGCCATCGTCTGCTCGCAATCGCAGGAACTGACAGGCGACCCTTTTATGATGGGCCATGACTGATACGAGAACTGTTTTGTTGGCAAAACAAGACATTCACAAAACATTCATCCATTCCCAGACACTACCCATGGCACTGGCATGTACATTGACCCCCTGCAATCAACCAAAAAGTAGCTTGTAGCTGCTGCCAGTCCCATCGGTCGTGTCGGATTGTTCATCCAGATGTGTTTTTTGTGCTGGCCCAAAGCGACTTGCATTTCTTTGTTCTCGATCCTGGAAGAGGACTTGATAGGATCGTCACAACTGGCAGATGCCATCGAATTCGGATGGATGAGGATTTTTATTGATTTTTATTCTTTATGGTGTTTGAAGGGCACCAGACGTGGGCAGCTCACCAGGGCTCCATCTTCAGATCTCCCCAACCAATGTCACCATTTGGGGAGCGCGTTCGTTGTGTCCTTTCTTCGAAGGTGTGTGCAGCAACCCTGGACATGTCTTGAAAGCTTTGTGATGTGAAGTGTATTACGACGTCACATGTTTGGCAGACCTGTGTTGCCTTGTTCAGGGGACATGGCTGCAATTGCACTTGGCACGTCCTTACGCTCTTGGACACTGGGTATGGAAGCAACTGCGGTTCGCTCAGAAAATGGCGGCTCGGACAGTTCTTACATCCGAATCATGTGTATACCTGGAGTCGACCCGGAACTCGTACCTCGGGTTCAATGGGTACCGTCGCACCTGTTTGATCCTGTTTTTGTTCGGGGTCAGACTGGGTCGGTCGGGTCCAGGTACCCCTTTTTGCGTGAAAAAACAACTTTTGTGCTGTCGTCTGGGCATAGGTTCGGGTTCCGGAACGCCCCCAGACAGGAGGTCCATAGGACTGGGCAATCCCGATCAGGCCATCGGGTGGTTGCTTGAAGTCGGGGTGAATGTATGGAGCATATGCCAGTCCCATGGAGTGTATATACCCTAGGCTTCCAACAACCATTAATTTAATAGGCTTTACCCAATCAACTAAGGATTTTACAATACAAAAACCAGGTCAACCATTGTTTTAATGGTCTTTGACTCCCAGGGTTTTGTGCTGTTGGGGATGGGCAGGACATGAAGCATCATGAGCACCGTAGTATTCCTTTCTCCACTGTAACTGGGTGGCCATGACCCAACAAATAGCCTTCCCACCTGGACCCTTTGCCGCAATGCTTCGATGGAATCAAGATGGAACACCGTCAATTTCAGACTGAAGCTTAGTAAGGAATGAGGCTTGTCAACAATACACGAACAAAGTATGAATATATACATTACTGAGAACCCACTTGACACCTGTTTTGATAGAACAAATACGTACCCTCTTTGGAGTGGTTGGTGATCCAAAATTTAAACAGGTGTCACTCATGTTCTGTAATATGTATATGTGCCGTGGGAGTCCATGACTGTTGTTCAATCGGTTTTAGATGACCGGAATTGGCAATTCCTTACTTCGGGGATGCCAAAGATAGTGATCTTTAGACTTTACCTCCAGCTCGCAGCTGCGAAGATTGGGACATGACCCTACAAAAGAAACGCAGGAGCTGCCATGTACTCATATTCCCAGGTACGAACGGGCCGACGTTCCATGGTCTTCCATCGCTCACCATGTCACTCTCCCAGCCGATCCTCTCCAATCCCTCCTCCCCGAAGCTTAGATAAGCTTAGGAGATATTATGACGTCCCGGTATATATACCTTCCATCCCCTGGTCAACCACCCCAATGTACTGGAGTGTCTGGGTATACATACATGGAGTCTGGGTATGCTTTTTTTTACACCAGTCAGAGGCTCCTGGCCAATATCCTCAGGTTCGGTGGTCTTCGACCCCCCCTGGCACCCACCCTAACTACCCACCTTCTCAGCTCAAGAGCACGACATGGTGCATCGCCACTAGTAACTATACTGCTAGTAGCATTGCAACATTTTTGTTACTAGTATTCCCTAGGGCTCCAACCATATCCTCAGAAGGTGGTTAGACCCCCGTGGCACCCACCCCAAACCATCTTCTCAGGAGGTGGTTGGAGCCCTAGGGATTGTAGCTTCGCGCTACTGCTATAGCGTCTTGCTACTTGTTGGAGCCCTAGGACCTCGGAAGTCGCTTCCCTCGAGCTCCCGAGCTCATCGGCAGGCTCCGGGCTCTGGCGCGGCCGCGGGCGCCGGAGGACACGACGCTGGTCTTGCAAGAAGCGGTCGATGGGGGCGGCACCCCAAAGCTGGCAGAGATGGATGCCATGTGTGCACCTGACTGGTCAGTTGGACCTCAGTTTATTGGAGTTGCTCATGAAGCAACAAATCGACATACAATCTAATTACTGTACTCAACGGTAAGAAACCTGGTTTTACTGGGTCAGACATCCGTAGGTTCGATGCCGACAGCTCAATTCATCACCGTACTAGGCAAGTAATACCCACACACTCCATGTATATGGGATGTTGACCCGGGTGAATGTTGGTAAATATATACCCATGCATGGAGTGTTTGGGAGAGATTTTTGTTGCAAGTGGAGTTAAGACCAGAAGTCTTTTACGGAACTTTCTCAGGACTCACAGGCCATACACTTCCTATAGGGTCGGGACCCGGTGCTTTTTGGGACACCCCTTCAGTTCACCTCTTGAAGTTCAGGCGCGCACTTGTCCGAGTTCACTTGTTCGGGTCCTGGTAGATGGCATACCCTATAGGGCCTGATTGAATCCACTGATCCACCCTCTTTTTGGTACGGTGATGTGTTCGACACAGATCTGTATGTGGTCTAGGGTCGAGTCTAGTGGTACCGAACCTGAGGATGGCCTCCAGCCTAATAGCAATGGCCTCCAACCCAAAGGGATATGAACCACGCCGATGCAGGCAACTTTTGAAATGGTTCAATGACCAGAGTTGGGTGGTTCATGGACACCTCCGACTGACCTCGTCTATAACTCGAAGTGGGTAGTTGGGCCATTGGTAGACCAATTGCGAGGTGTTGGCTGAAAACCCCAACTGCTCAACCCAGGAGAGCCTGGTTGAATGCCCTCGAAGCCGAGTTGGAGGCTTGGTGTTTCACTTCAGCGGCAAAAAGGGGAATAGAAGTCTCAATTGGCGACAGTGATATATTTGGTAGACCTACTGATCTAACTTCTGTGGACCAGCACTCTATGCCCCTATATCAGCGAGCTTAACATGGCAATTCTGTGGGGGTGCGGAAGACTTGGGAGACTTCTCCCAATGTCGACTCTGGTTGCTTGCGAACTTTCTGGTGGGTTGCCCCTGCCACGCCAAAACCCGACGCGTTCGTCGCCTGACTTTCGCGCGTGAAACGCGGTGGAGGGAGGCGGCTCCTCCTTGGATTCCAGAGATAGTCACCCCGGAAAACTGGAAGCATTCTGAGAGCCAACAGTCTGCTGCCAGCATCCTCCAACAGGTCTCCTCTGTTGTATAGGGTTCTTGGGCGTTACAACAGGTCTCAATTGGTGATCTGGCAGTGAGGTGCTCGTATACAAGCTATATGTCATTTTCCCTAGAATTCCAACCACCATTATACCAAGCAACCATTGTTTTACTATCAGGGTTTTTACACGTTTTTACTCTACACCACCAGGTCAATCATTTTTGGCATAGTCTTGGCAAGTCTAAGTTACGTTAATGATTGACCAAGTGGCCAAGAACGATCGGATCCTTTGGAGCCTCCGACGGCAGTTCGCGTGCGGAAGCGGCCCACGTGTTGGAACCTTGCGAAATGGTTCGCGCGACCGTATTTCTGGCACAGATACAGTACCCAGACGCTCCATGGGACTGCCATATGCCGATCAGTTGGGGTGGTGTCTGAGGGGTCAATGGGGCGGCATATTTATGGCATACATGGAGTGTCTGGGGTATACTCTATAGCAGACCAAAGTGTTGAGGCTGAGGCCATTGTTTGGGCCTCACTGGTGAGTATCGCGTCCATGCTTGAATCAGCTAGACTCGTGCCGTCATCCAGAGATGCTTTGATTGATACACCTTCATCCATCTCTTGACCCCTTATTGCGTTTCGACATTACAAGTCGGAGCACTTCCAGAGGGGAGGGCTCAAGATTTGCCAAAGCCAGCCCTTCTTGATCACCTTGGCAAACTCGTGGGGAAGGCACAGTGTCACATGGAAAGTGCAGGGGTTCTGGTGACGGTAGCCATCCCTTCGTGCTTGTGGCCTCAATTTTCATCCACCCAGCCACTTGTCTCAAATGATCTTGTCTCAAATTGGGTGAGAACATGAGAGAACCGCTGGACCAATTTCTGCAAAGGCTTTGGGTTCCGGGTCGCCTCTGGACAGTCACCAGATCAACAGTGAGTCGCTCGCGAGGCCACGGGTGCATCCAGTGCGCTTGGAGAGCCGTCGGCGGACGTAAAAGAGGTTGACAACAGCTCTCGATGGGAAATTGGTGAATGGACACCCCTGGATACCTCTAGGAAGAGC